AATATAAGAAAAAATTATTAATATTAAAATAATATAAAAATAAATATCAATTATAATTAAAAGAATATAAAAAAAATCAAGAATGTTAAAGCCCGGTGCTACGCACCGGGTTAGAGACTAGTATACGTATAATAACGGGCATCTACGCGTTATTTCGAATACGCTCATCTGCGTTACTTTGAAATAAAGGTCATTTTCAAGACCCGATTTTGCTATATATGAGGTGTTATTTCAGGACACGCATGGACGTTATTTCGAAATTAAATATGCTATGCGATTTTTGAAATGATGCCATACACTATTTCGAGAATTTATTATAATCATTAACCAGTGAAAAAAAGTTTTCAAAAACGTTTGTTATTTCCTGGTTTACGGGGAAATAGCTAAACAAAGATTCAAGTACTCCATCATGTGAATAATAACCAATCAGAAATGGTGGGAAATCTATAATCGCCAATGTCAATTTTCTCGTAATCGTGATTGACCAATAAATTAATGTTTTCGATTTCGAATTTCGGCCTAAATTAAGCTTAATTCGGACATTGTTATGATGAAAGGTTTCCTGGTTGAATTGACTTGCAGTACATATATTGGGTTGTAATTATATCATAATACTTATTTTTTCGTAATGCGTTCAAATTGGGGTTAGGAAAGTAAAATTAGGCCAATAAGTGCAGGTCAGTTAAAAATAGTGACGAAGTCAATGATGTGGACATTTACAGAATAAGAATTTATAGTTTTTAAACGACGTTAATTGATAGAAGAATTGCATGAAAGAGTTTTTTGATAAAATTTTTTAATCTAATATATTTAATATTTGAAACATGCAAGTTTTATTATATGAACGTAAAAAAACTTTAAGATTTGATTAACAAAGTTATTCACTATTGAAATTAAGCATATTTCTCAAATTAACATTGTCACGAGTTAACACCGCTACTTGTTCAAATCATCAACCTTATCTCTTAACCTAATCAATTCACGATCTTTAATTTCAATACTTGAGTTAAGAGTAACTTTTTGATGTTCAAAGATTTCCTTATATCGATCCTCTCCGCTTCGATTATAGCAAAATCATTATTCCGCATTTCGATATCACCTAATTCTTGTATTTTTTCATCTTTTTGACATAAATTATCTTTAAGACCTTTTACACGATTTTCAAGCCTAAAAGAATATTATATAAATAGGATAAATCTAGATCCCGCACCCCTGTATAACATTTAAATCTAGCACCCGGGGTGTTGGATACTTATATATCGCATAAAGATAAAATGAAATTTACAGTATCGTTAGCTCTAAACAGGGTAACTAAACCGGGTAATTACAAATGTCACAT